CACTAAAAATATTTGAAATTTAAATATCTAATTTATATATACAAGAATATTAAGTAAATAAAAGGATGTGTAGACTTTTCAACCATTTCTAGTACTTATACCGAAATTCTTGCGATATGAAATTGAATGTCATAACTGTTATTAGCATTTTTACTTTTTATTAGTATTAGTTAGAAAATTTGTTACATAGCAACTTTTACTCATCTCTTTGGTACACCTTCTATACAAACGTGTTCAATTGAGCATTTTTCGCTTGTTGTAGTTGTCTCTGACAACAACAAATCCCAAGATTGTCTCAACCAAAATCTTGTCTTTATATATAAATATACAAAAAAAAAGATATATCAAAGTCATCATTCAAAATTTCGAGTTTTTAGAAATCACTACTCTCAATCATCATACTATTATTATTCCTACTATAGCAATCTCATTTTCACAATGACAATAACTAATTTGAACGCCCCTTCACCGGAGGAGATTGTCGTCCCATCGGCACCGGCACCAACCCTGGCACCGTCACCGGGACAAACTCCGTCACCGTCACCGGAAAAAACTCCGGCACCGTCACCGGAACAAACTCCGGCACCGGTATCAACATTGGTTGAACAAAAGGACAATCCATTGAACAAGTCTTGTGGACAGATAATCAATTGTAAAGAAGCGAAAAATCAAGTGTTGTTCTCCGTTCCGATGATCGTCGTGAACGGTTGTTTCTACTTCATCAGCCTCGTCTCCGTCATGTTTGCCGGACACCTCGGGAAACTCGAGCTCGCTTCCTCAAATCTTGCTAATTCATGGGCCATGGTTACTGGTTTCTCTTTTATGGTACGTAAAAATACATGACAAAAATAACTTCTATGCACTGACCGTATACAAAAATAATATGTTCATTAAAAAGTTAGTGGTAGTCAAGGGTGGAACACAATTTCAATGTTCCAAACTCTATATAGATAATCAGGGCAGATCCAATAATTAGTATTGTAGTATTATAACAAATTAAATTATGTTGATAATGTTAAAAGGGTAAATACTTACATGTATGCATTGGGTGTTTATATCTTACTTTTTCATTGGTTTAATATACACATAGGGTGCTCATATAAAATACTAGCTACTAATAATATATAAGTCATGTACTTGAGACATTATGTTCAATTGTGTGATCATTTCGTCTAAAGATTAAAGTTGTCAGAAAGAGTACTATACTTTTATTTACTTAATTATATTTTCAACGGAAGTGAACTCTGAACTTGTTGATTGATCATCTATATATAGGTTGGACTAAGTGGTGCACTTGAGACATTATGTGGTCAAGGATACGGCGCGAAAATGTTCAGGATGTTGGGGATACATCTTCAAACATCAAGCATCATATCATTCTTCTTTTCTATTGTTGTTTCTGTCATCTGGTGGTATTCGGATCGAATTCTGATTTTACTTCATCAAGAACCTGCCATAGCACATGAAGCAGGGGTGTTCTTGAAGTTCCTCATACCTGGATTGTTTGCATATGCTTTCTTGCAAAACATTGTGAGGTTTCTTCAAGCTCAATCGATCATCTTACCTTTAGCTTGCATCGCGGTTGCAGCTCTAGTTCTCCACATTGGCATTGCATATGCTCTGGTTCATTGGACACATCTTGCTTTCAAAGGAGCAGCATTAGCTGTTTCGATTTCATTTTGGATCACATTCATTACGTTGAGTCTATACGTGCTTTTCTCCAAGAAATTTAGTCATATAAGGCCCGAAGGTCTCTCATCCGAGCCACTTCTGCATCTTTTTTCAAACTTGAAGTTGGCTTTGCCCTCTGCTGGCATGGTGTGGTAAGTTTTTGTTATTAAAGTCAAACCTCTCTATAATGACGTTGTTTGTCTGAATATATTTTGGTTGTTATATCACATAACATGAAAATTAGTTCCAAAGAAAACTTAGTCGTTGTAGTGAAATATTGTCCTAATGAATGACTGTTATAGAGAGGTATGACGGTACAATAAAGCAAATTCAAATGTTTCCCCTTAAATTACATGCTCCACACACCTTTATCGGTACTGATAGTCTCTAATTGATGTGTAACAGCTTGGAGTATTGGGCGTTTGAGATTCTTGTGTTATTAGCTGGTTTGATGCCAAACGCGGAAACAACTACTTCTGTCGTTGCAATGTGGTAAGTTTTCAACACGGTTTTGAAACACAAGCAAATTTTTTGTATTTCTTGGAAGTCGAATTTTAGTTGCTGATCTAATTTTTGTGTTACAGTGTAAATACAGAAACCATAGCCTACATGATATCTTATGGCCTCAGTGCAGCTGCAAGGTAATTTCACCAACAAAAATGTTGAAAATAATTCTTTTCCTTTATATTTCCATCAATTTCTAATGCTAAAACATATCTCGTGTTGAATTAATTATGTGACAATCTCATTTAAATGTTTAAATCATTAGAGATATCACGACTTTATTCACTTAATTTGTTTGAACATGCCTCTTAATGGGTGGGCCTGATTCTGTTTCCTAGGACAAGGTCTGCACGGAACACTATGTTAACTTGTGTGACGACCATCTCATCTAAAATGTTAAGCTGTTAGAGAGATCAAACGTATAACTCTTATTTACTAAACTATGTCTCAACATGTCTCTTAAATCTTAATTACGTGCAAGCCTGATTCTGTTTCATAGACCAAGGTCTGCACGTGAAAATTCTCTTTTGATGACAGAACACTATATTGAATTGTGTGACCATGTCATTTGAGATTAGGCGTATAACTCTTATTAACTTAATTATGTTCTCAATGTGCAGCACGAGGGTGTCAAACGAGATAGGAGCAGGAAATATCCGCAAGGCTAAACAAGCTATGGCTGTTACTCTCAAGCTAGCTATTGTTGCTGCACTCATAGTTGATTTGGCCCTAGGTTTTGGTCATAATGCCTGGGCTGGCCTCTTCAGTGATGAACCGGAGATTATTCGCAAATTTGCCTCAATGACACCTCTCCTATTAGTCTCTTTCTTGTTCGATTTCATACAAGGAATTCTATCAGGTTAATCAACTTTCTTTGCATATATATGTGTGTGTTTTCGCGACATTTACATTTTAGTTTTAACATGTTGATCAATAGAATTGAACAAGCTAAAACGTTAACTTGTAAATGAATATTGATCATCAGGAGTGGCAAGAGGATGTGGATGGCAACGTTTCGCAATGTGCATCAACTTGGCAAGTTTCTATTTCTTTGGTATGACAATAGGTGCGGTCTTGGCTTTCAAGTTCAACAAAGGATATAAGGTAATTCACATTCAGTATGTTTTTATGTAAGAGTTTAACTTCTATATGCTGACAGAGTATCGTTTTTTGTTGTTTATGAATGATGCAGGGTTTATGGGTAGGGTTGATTTGTGGTCTAGCATGCCAATCTACTAGCTTGTTGCTATTGACATTCTTTATAAAATGGGGAAAAGAAGACCAAGTCTCAAAGGATACCAACCATGAAAATGAACCCCAGCCTTAAATTAAGGATAGAGTTCATGTAATTTACTTGGATTGATCATTTATAATTAATTAATTAATTCATATGATTTGTGATGTTGAGAAATTTTTTGACGTATCGACGCAGTTTTAGAATAAATTGTGTATGTAGACATTAGTTTATTTGCGCTTATGAAGGTTTGAATCTAAATCATATAGATTTGAGTCCTTAAGCGTGTTTCTTCTATTGTGTCCGAATTTTAATGAATAACTTTTTGTCAAGATAACTTTTCGGGAAAGTAGTTTTGAAGAGAAGAAGTTTGTATTTCATTTTGAGAAGCGATTCGTTTAGTACCAATCTTTCTAAATAGGTGCGGAAATCACATTTTTACTTGTTAATAGGCCAAATACATGACACTTAAATTTATCGAGATATTTTATTTAGATACTTAAACTAAGCTTACAAGCTATAAAACACATAATCTATGCTCAAACTGTACCAATTAGACACAACTTGACGTGACAAAGTGTTTAATAAATGTTTATTAATAATAGATAAAAGATTTTTAACGTGAATAAGTATAAGAAAGGGAACTAGGTCTTATTTTACTAATTCTAATGAAGTAGCAAATTTTTACTAATTAACCAGCATAAAGAATATAAAAGTTAGAAAAAATTAGGTATTTCATGATCATTAAAGAATTTATAATATACTTTGTGATGATATTACAAAGAATGTTTAATAGTGTAAAAATAGAAAAAACCAAAAAGAAATTGAGATATCACTTTCAAACTTCCTTTTGTATATGTATAAAATAAAAAAGATGGTTTGTCAGAAACATAATATTTTATTCGTTTTAATTGTCATACTTTTTTTTAATCTATGTAAAACGGAAAGTATTTATAGTAATTCTTTAATTCTAAAAAGTTAAAACTATAAAATTAAAATACATTTTAATATATTTCACACAAAATGCAATTTTTCTTATAGTACTTTTTAAAATCCTATATCAAATTAAAATAAAATAAAATAAATTGAATGGATCAGAGTACTTCATTTTAGTCAACAACATAGAAAGTAGCGCTACATTTAATTTGACAAGTTGGGAGTTCATAAACAGATAAATAATTTTACTTCGTATTCAATTTGATAGCGAAGAGAAATTATTATATAAGAGGCGGAATCATAATTTTATTTTTATCTTATCATTGAGAAATGATTAATTCTTAAAAGACTATCAAATCAAATATGAAATCAAATCTCTTAGATTATCAAATTTTGATTTGACACGTTTATTAGAGAAACAATGATCGGTATATTAATTTATTATTTTACTCTATTAATTGATTAAGAAATATTTGACGAGTAAATAAGGATCGAGAGAGTAGTAAACAGAAGAAAATATTTCTTTTTCGAATCTCTCACTTGTAAAAATGAAAATCTCGATTACATAACTGTTATATCTCTTATATGTAAAAACGAAGATCTCGATTATGTAACCAAATTACATGGTAGCTTGTTTCCCAATCAAAAAGACCTCATCGTAGACTTTTCAGGGCAGAGCCCCAAAAAAAAAAAATCAGAAAAAATGGCTTTGGAGAATTGTTCATCCGGTCCGAAAAGTCCCCTGTTAGGATCATCATCGTCGTCAGGCATTTCATCGAACAGTTGGTGTGCAAAGTTGATCGACGTAGAAGAAGCTAAGAATCAGATGTTATTTTCATTGCCAATGATTGTAGTGAACAGTTGTTTCTACTTTATCAACCTTGTTTCCGTCATGTTCGCCGGACACCTCGGGAAACTCGAGCTGGCTGCATCAAATCTTGCTAATTCATGGGCTATGGTTACTGGTTTCAGCTTCATGGTATGTAAAAACTTATTGCTCTGTTTTAGATTACAACTTTTTAAGTTTTATGCATTGATGATGGAAAAATATTTTTATAATCGGATCACTTAAAAAGGTAATTGTAGTTATAGTAGTGTGAAAAATTCATTATACTTTTAGTATATATAAGAGTCGAAAACATACGTAAACGATCAGGTGTGTGCGTTTCCTACCTGAAATATTACTAACTATTTGTAAGAACACACTTCAACTATCAATTGTTCTCTTTTCCTACCTGAAATATCACTCATCTTTCAGGTAGGACAAAGGAATGATGGATAGTTGAGGTATGTTTTTGATAAATAGTTGCTTATAGTTTAGGTAGGAAACTTGAACAGCTAATAGATCATGTATGAAACTCAAAAAATCGGAATACTTTAGATGTATTTTTGACAATTAACTCTGTACAAAACTTGAATCTGTTGCTGAATACATCCAACAAGAATCATAGGGGATCGAGGACTTGAAGTTTATGAGTTCCTACAAAGATCTCAAGTTAATATATAATAACTACAATCAAATATTTGTAAATGTTTAATGAAATAGTTAAATAAATATGGTATGAGAAAAAGTTATTAGGTTCCATTTATCCTAAATGACATGCCTTTATAGCAACAAACATATCATAAGTTTCAATTTCTTTCTTAAAATTTGTGTCTAATCAAATTATCCTTAATTTATTACTTAGTTTGATATCTCTTTAACTTATGCATTACCATTTTCTTCCAATATTTGTTCATATTTTCTTCTTTCCTGCCAACTATCATTTTGTTCAGAGTATTACCAGTCAATTATCTCAATTCCAAATTAGTTAAAGTGATATTTGTCAATAACCATATGGGATAAGACACAAGTACTCCTAGACTATGACCGAAATCACAGAGACAAACCTTAACTAAACTAAGGTCCTATTACCCTTTCGAACTCATTTTTTTTGTAATTTTATACACCTTTTAGCTTACGTGGCACACTCCGTGACTCCACGTAGTTGAGGCGCGTGAGAGATGTTTGGATGCCACGTAAGCCAAAAAGGTGTACAAAATTACAAAAAAATGGGTTCGGGGGTAATAGGACCTTAGTTTAGTTAAGATGTGTCTCTGAGATTTCGGTCATAGTCTAGGTGGTACTTGTGCCTGATCCCATAACCATACTCTTCTACAAATGAGGATCTGAACTCTAACAAAATGGTAATTGTTTAGGTGCTAAAGAGTGAAGAGTAGTTCTTGGAATGAGTAGAACTGTTTGCAGCTCTTAACAAAATGATGATTAGCTATGCAACTTTTCTTGTATTAATGTTCTATGCAAGTGTTTAAAATATTCAAAGAGATCGTGCTTGCCCGAAAATGAGCATGTCTAAGATAAGAATCCAACTTTTACATGATGCCCTGTGCTTCCAATGTTACTGAAGCAAGTCTTAAACTTGTTAGTGAACAATCTATAGGTTGGTCTAAGTGGTGCACTTGAGACATTATGCGGCCAAGGGTACGGAGCAAAAATGTACAGAATGTTGGGGATACATTTGCAGGCATCATGCATCATATCGTTCTTCTTTTCTGTGGTGATTTCTGCCATCTGGTGGTATTCTGATATGATTCTGATTTTACTTCATCAAGATCCTGACATAGCTAGAGAAGCCGGCGTATTCTTGAGGTTCCTCATTCCTGGATTGTTTGCATATAGTTTTCTGCAAAACATTTTGAGATTTCTTCAGGCACAGTCGATCATCATGCCTCTGGCTTTCTGTTCAGTTGGATCTTTAGTCATCCACATTGGGATTTCCTATGCCTTGGTTCATTGGACAGGTCTTGCTTTTAAAGGAGCATCATTAGCGGCTTCCATTTCGATCTGGATCTCATTTCTGACGTTGGGCCTATACGTGCTCCTTTCGAAGAGATTCAACCATATCTGGAGAGATGGTCTCTCGTTCGAGCCATTTCATCATATCCTTACAAACTTGAAGTTGGCTTTGCCCTCTGCTGCCATGGTATGGTAAGAATTAACTGTAAATTTTGTTATTACAAGAAGAGTCAACTTATATATTCATAGACATTTTTTTTACACAAAGGCGATTACAGGCAACAAATCATAACGAGTAAAATTAGTTACTTGTAAAATAAGACTAGTAACCTTCTATAGCAGGTTAACTCACATTGCTAATATAAAATTTTGGCATAGTATATAAACAAACACTCAAACTTGACCTCAGCTGGCGAGTAAATACTCTAACTTTGAGTATGCACATCTACACACTTCATCTCGTCTCCTTTCTGTTAATGAAATACTCAAACTTACAAAATGATCATCTAAACACCTCAAAAATTTATGTGTCGCTTCAACATTAGGTGTCCACAAGAAAGGACACAGTGAGGATGAGGTGGAGCGTTTAGCTGTCAGTTGAGGTGTCTAATTGTGCACTCTCAAAGTTAAAGTGCTTACTTGCCAACTGAGACTAAGTTGGAATGTCTGTTTATGTATTATGCCTAAAATTTTCATCACACTGTCGGTGAATATAAGTTAAATCCTCACAGAATGAAACGCGTTATAATCCAAGTCGTACTAATAATTTCCTAATTTGATGTATACCAGCTTGGAGTACTGGGCTTTTGAGCTTCTTGTGTTATTGGCTGGTTTGATGCCAAACTCAGGAACAACTACTTCTGTTGTAGCTATGTGGTAAGCTTCTGTCCTTTTCAACAACACATTTTCATGATTTTGAAGACTGAGTTTTAGTTTCTGACACCAATTTGTTTTGGTTTATGACCTTTCAGTGTAAATACACAAAACATAGCTTACATGATATCTTATGGTCTGAGTGCAGCTGCAAGGTAATGTTACCAACAAAAAATTGACATAATTCTGACCCCCCTCTTCCCCCTCAGTTTTGTTACTGATACCAAATATGAATGCGAAAAACGTTTGGTAGTTGGTTAGAGTTATGCAGGTAGTAGTAATATATGGATTAGTTATGAGTGAATCTATGTATAATTTTATACATGTATTAGTTATGCTGGGTTTAAGTATTCCATGTTTTATCCTACACAAAATAATTCATAGATTCACTCGTTACTTATACATGTATTAGTTATGCGGGTTTGTAAATTGCAAACCAAACACCATATGCCTTAATTTTATACCTGAATAACTTACCTCCTAACGAGCTACCAAACATGGTATTACTTATGTAGGATTTAATACCTGCATAACTCATCTGCAAACCAGCTACTAAACGATCCCATAGTGTTGATTTGTGACAATCACATCTAAATGTTTAAACTGTTAGAGATAGCATACCTTTATTTATTTGATTATGCTTCAACCCCTTAACATGCGGATGGTTCTTTTTAAACGGATGACTAAGGCTCAAACTCAAAAACTCTTTTTGATAACGAATGACGGTGAATTTGAACTTCGGACCTGCTTGCTCTGGTACTATGTAGAATTATGTGACCAGATATAGAGAGAGCAAATGTACTTGTATTTACTTAATTATGTTTCAACGTGCAGCACTAGGGTGGCAAACGAGTTAGGAGCTGGAAATCCTGATAAAGCTAAGCATGCTATGTTTGTTACTCTCAAGCTAGCTGTTCTTCTTGCCATTGCAGTTGATTTGGTTCTATTGTTAGGTCATAATGTCTGGGCTAGCCTCTTCAGTGATAGCACGGAGATAATTAACAAATTTGCCTCCATGACACCTCTCCTCTTAATCTCCTTTGTGTTCGATTTCATTCAAGGAATCCTCTCAGGTTAAAATTTTACATAGCTGCAATGCACTATGCGCCATGACTTTCTTCACTCCTGTTAATTCTTTTTTTTTTCCCGACATGCTTTGATTTTTCCTCCTTGAGCCAAGGGTCTATCAGAAACAACCTCTCTACCTCCCAAGATAGGGGTAAGGTTTGCATACCCCAAACCTCACTTGTGGGATTACACTGGATATGTTGTTGTTGTTGTTGTTGTTGCAATGCACTATGCTTGTGTGTGCTCGCGCGTGAGTCAGTATTTTTAGTTTTATACATTCAGTAGATCGAGCTATAACGGAACTTGTAAATGAATTGTTCAGGGGTTACTAGGGGATGCGGATGGCAGCATTTGGCTATGTGCATCAACTTGGCGACATTCTATTTCATCGGTATGCCAATAGCCGGCCTCCTTGCTTTCAAGTTCAACCTACATTCTCAGGTAACTTCTATACTTCCAGTATAACTTCTATACACTGACAAAGTAAAAGAGTTTTAACTCTACTAAATACCTAAAAGATAAACTACATGTAACTGTTCATAATGATTGGAGCTAGTAACCTGGAAAATAAGGTAGATAACTCGCTACAACAAGTTAAATTACAACGATAATATAATTTGTTTTCGAAAATTATATGATGCAGGGTTTATGGTTGGGCTTGATTTGTGGTCTAGCCTGCCAATCTTCTGGCTTGTTGCTACTTACATTGATGAACAGATGGGGAAAAGTAGCAGAAGTTTCAACAAATAGCAATAGAGAAAATGTACTCCTAGCTTAAGCATGAGTTTATGAGAATTACTATTGAGTTTTCCTTCAGATATGATGATTGATTGATTAATTAATTACCTTTATTTCTATTTTAAAAAGGAGAAATTACGCGGATAAACAAATATATACTAGTTAATTAGTTAACATAGCTACAGTTTGTCTTAATTACAATTCGCGACTTACTTTTAGCTATAATTACGCAACTTGGGTGTTTTAGTTTGTATAATTCGCATGTTTGTATAATTCAAAATTTGTATAATATATAATTGGGAAAATGCATAAGTACCCCCCCAGCCTATGCCCAAAATCCCTGAGACACACCTAACCTTTACTAAAGTCCTATTACCCCCCGAACTTATTTTTTAATTAATTTTTTACCACTTTTGGCTTACGTGGAAATATAAACCAAATAGGTTGAAAACTTTGTTCAACACGCGCCGGGTCCCATTTTTTCAACTTTCTAAAAAGTAGCTTTTACACTTCCCAAAATTTCAAAAAGCTATCCTATTATTTATAATCTACTTTGTTAATATATTTTTAGTTAGTTTATAGATTTTAATGTTTATATATTTTATTTCAAATTTGGGCATGTAAAATTTTGTAAATATTATATATATAATTTTATTTTATTTATAGATAAAATTTTTTATTTATAATCTACTTTGTTGATATATTTTTAGTTAGTTTATAGTTTTCAATGTTTATATATTTTATTTTAAATTTGGGCTTGTAAAAATTTGTAAATATTATATATATAATTTTATTTTATTTATAGATAAAAAAATATTACTTATAATCTACTTTGTGAATATATTTTTAGTTAGTTTATAGCTTTCAATGTTTATATATTTTATTTCAAATTTGGGCTTGTAAAATTTTGTAAATATTATATATATAACTTTATTTTATTTATAGATAGTTACACTTTTCCAACTTTATCATAATTGTAGGATACTTATAAGACTAGAAGGTACTCTCTAATAGTGCATATAGTTATTTTGTTTGTTCAAACATGTTTTTATTTGTATACAACCTCAATTTTTATATCAATTATGTAGAAACTTTAATAGTGAATAATTTCGATCATTATTATTAATAGAACATAAGAAGAATTATTACTCAAAATCTTTACGTTAATAAAAATATAAATTGTTGTAACTATTATTTATAGATGATTAAAAAAATAAAAATTGGGAAGAAAATAGTAAGTAAAAATTACACGTTATATTAAATTATCTTTATATTAATAAAAAAAGAAATTGTTGTTAGTATTATTTGTAATATAATTAAACAAAAATAACAATGGGAAGAAAATAATAAGTAAAGATTACACGTTGTATTAAAATAATAAGTATTAAAAATTATGATAAATTTTATAATAGTCATAACAGGAATTTACGTAATAATTACTATATTAGAATACTAGAAAAATTGATAAGTTCCTCGACATCTAATCATTGATTAAAATTTAAATTATTATTTTCTTCTGCGAAAGTTTAAGAGATTAAATTAACGTTTTAAAAAATAATATAACAAACTGATTAATTAATTATTTTCAATGATTAATAAGAAAATGTATATAGCATGTACATGTATTATTATTACATTATTTATATCCACTCTATATTAAATCATTTTTCTATTATAGTTTGATGCAAATTTCAGAATGTAAAGAATGTTTTGGATTCGAAAAATAAATATTCAAAATATACTAACATGTCATTTAATCTTATGATATTTTACATTTCATTTGAAAAAAAATTAAATATTTAATATGAAAAATATTAGTTTATTAATACAACATAAAAGTAATAAAGGACAATATATAAAAATATTTGAAGTATTTGATATTTTATTAAATTAAAATAATTTTAAATTAATATATAGCCGCGCAACGCGCGGGTACGTATACTAGTGAAGAACAATAATAAAGAAGAAGACAATTGAGTTAATATTTATTTTTTCCAAGTTTATTTTAACACATGACCAATTTTTATTGGTCAGTGCCGTCTAAAAGCTGCACCCACGCGCTTAACATAGGTGAAATCACGGACTCAGCCACGTAGGCCGAAAAGTGGTAAACAATTAACCAAAAAATAAGTTCAGGGGGGTAATAGGACCTTAGTAAAGGTTAGGTGTGTCTCAGGGATTTTGGGCATAGGCTGGGGGGTACTTATGCATTTTCCCTATATAATTTGTATAAGTTTGTATAATATAATTTGTACAACTGTTTAAAGTTCAGATATTTGTGTTTGTATAAATTTATTATTTCAAGTTTATACAAAAATAGCTTAATTATACAAACGTACCCGCAAATTATATCAACAAGACAACTTAAATTGTAACTACAACATGTAAATATGCAAACTATAGCTATGGAGCATAATTAAGTTTATTATAATAACTATTTGCGAAAATTCTCCATTAAAAAATATGGGTGATATTGTCTAACATAATTTAAAATGAGTCATAGATTCAACATAACATTGCACGTTTTGCCCTTCATATAAGTTGAACTCCAATTCAATCTGTATAAATTTAAAAATATTTCATTAACTAAAACTTTACCTACTATTACTTACTATATACTATATATAAAGAAGACAAAGCATGTCTTTTTATAAACCAAAACTTGACTTGACTAAAATACTATATTTTAATTTAAAAGATAAGCAGGTCTCCTTTATATTTTTTATTTAATTAATTTTACTAATATATGTATAAAGGTTGTTGTGGGGTGATTATCTTTCCATTCTTAACTAAAACTTTTAAATTTTATAAGTGCCTCTAAGCATAACATAAGAAAATTATTATATTATATTTCATGTAGGAAAAGAAATAACTGATAGTTATAAATTTTTAGGTGTGTTTTAATACATAATGATAGATCATATGTGGTGTAGTTCAGGAAGAATAAGTGATCAATTGATAGTTGCGTATGAAACTAGTGAGAGACAAAAACAGTTCATATATGTTTTGGCCAATAAATTCAAGATTAAAGTTAATCATTGCTATTGAATATATCTTTAATATTAAAGAAATAGCAATTAGAATGCACAATATTTTAGGGAAAAAATCAATCTACTTTTATTAAATAGAAAAACATAATAAAATATAAATTTATTTATTACATTTTAAATATATGTAAAAAGAGCTAAAACGATATAATAAAAATGGAACCGAAGAAATATTTAAAAAGAACATTGAAATAAATCCATCTACATGATAACAAGATTAATTCATAAGGCTCTTTTTTAATTACCAATATTATTCTTTATTTAATTTAATTTAGTGGAGTTTTAATCCTCTCCAATTGATACATCATGTTTTCGTTGGGAATTGTCTTTCCATATTCATAATTCTTGATGATTTGTACATTCACTTTTAGCTAGCTTCTGCATGCATAACAAGAACATGTGTATCAAATCGAGTTTTAAATTCTATGGATTGACGATATAAAAAAAATTAATCATACATAATTATGTCGTTCATTAGATAATGACCGAATAATTTAACAGACACTTTATTAATGATTTTTTTTGAGAAAAAATATTCTATGCAAATAAGTCTGGTCTTAAAACGGATACTTTTTGAACGCTACATATCAAAAGGGATCCTCTCTAAAAACACAGATTAAAATGGACATTTTGCTCATATGTTGGCGAATTGTGATAAACAAAATTAACTTTCTTTAGTTCACCCCAAAACTCAAAAAACATCACAAAAATTTTAAAGGTTCACTAGAATTCTTTTTATTAACTTCCTCTCACGTGAAGCTATAACATGACTCAATTTTAAGTGCATTGTGCAGTCTATTTGATTTATAAAATCGTGAGTTCTTCAACAATAAAAGTATTAAGAAAATAGAGATTTTTTTTTCATAAAATAAATTTTATTTGCTTACAATCAATATATAATAAAAATACTACTATATATAAGCCGTTCTAAAAAGAATAAGATATTTATATATTTAGTATTAATAATTTAGCTTTAAACTTGTCATTTTATCCGTAGTAAGATAATTTATAGACACATAAATCTCTATGATTTAGTTTGGATCATAAAATCAAAGTTCTTCCTTTTATAAATAATTTCATCCCTAATTATCAAACACTTTCACATAAATTAGGACTGAAGAAATATATTATAATTAAAATTCTATCAAAATTATTTTCTTAAATGAATTTTAGAGACCATGCAACTACTTCAATTGGAGTGACTTTGTAAGAAAATTTAAGTTGCCACAACGATCCCATAAACACCCAGTTAGCAGAAGATTTTTCTTTTCATTTTTTAATGAACACTTTTTATGCTCACATGATTATGTTTTTCATTAGAATAATTTTTCAAGCAATAAATTATATTTAAAACTTAGTTGTTTGTGGTGTATACTTTTTCATTCAAAGCGTCTATTACCTAATCCGATTGTTTTTAATTGCTAGATTATATGATTAAGCACTTTTAACTCTCACAACTGTGTTTGCCCATTATTGAAGTTTCACTTCAGAAGTTTTTTTCTAGCTGAGGCCTTTTTGTGGAAAACTACATTATGGATGTATTCGGTACAAAAGAAAATGTTTTATAGAAAAATAATGATTTTCCTATTTTCTTGTGTTTGATAGGTACGATCCAGAGAAATACCATAAGAGGATGGGTGGAGGGTACTGCACGACAATATGTAGTACTGACCACACCGAGGAAGAACTAGGGGATCTGTCCGAGATTGAAAGTGTGGGGTGGTGAGGATGGGAGGCAGGGTGAAAATAAGATGGGTTGGAGGGTGAAAAGGATACAATCAATATGGAATCTTTCTTTGTGTGAGGGGATTTGAAAACCTTTGTTCAGCTTGAACTTGCATTCGAATCAAGTATAGTGAACTTGAGAATCTTTGGTAATGGTGTGTCACAACTTGAGTCTTTGAGTATACAATTGATCCTTGCATGAGTAAGTTGAGCCTTGTTGTGTACATTCATGATTGAGTCTTGTGTAGCACTGTTTGAGACATCCTTTGTGAATTCAACATAACATTGCACGTTTTGCCCTTCATATGAGTTGAACTCCAATTCAATCTGTATAAATTTAAAAATATTTCA